AAAAAAATACCTTGTAGACCTGTGTTATTAATATTAACATAATATCCGGTAGCTGAATTATATTTATTGTTTCATGTTACACAGGCCAACAAAATTTTATTCAATTTACTTTCCAAGAATCAGACATCGATCTGTCATCGAATTCGTGTTCAGCAACCTCAAAAACCCTCGAATAACAAATTACAAGCAAATACAATCGATTTTTAAAAAATCGTCATATTAGATCTGCCATTTTGAATTTTGAAAATCTGACATCGAATTCGTGGTTCAGTTATACCGAAAATCTGCAGAACTATTTAAAATTTAGATGTTTGTAGTTATATTTTTCTCTATTATCGAAGTTTTAGCTGTTCATATTTAGTTTTGGAATGTCGAAGAATTCGCCATACTCAGAAAATTGAATAAAACGATTACTCAGAGACAAATGAAGATTTTTTAAATTATCAAAATGGGTTTTAAAGGGAAAGGATAGCACTTTCAGATGCAATATTGACTTTTCGGGAAAAAAATTGTCTCTTGATGTCGCATGTTCTCAAATGCAGTTAAAAAACGGGGTTTTTTTTTGCACTTTAAGGTTAGAATAACTCGAAAACCTGACGTGCATGGTCAATTCTGAGGCCGGATTCGGATTCAGCACGTCGAAAACCTTCGGTAAAGTATTGTCTGATTCTTGGAAAGTAAATCTTGTCGGCCTGTGTTATTTCTCAAATAAGGTGTTATTTTGTAGTTTTATATATTAATTTATCCGTTTCTGCATACACGGAAAAAACAAACTAACTATTTTAAAAACTATAAATGTCGTACTTCGCGGGCATCAGTTTTATGCTTTTAAAGTACGTCACTATTACTATAAGAGTATAACCATTATACTTATATTTAGTATGGACTTACTTTAAACTAAAAAAGCATTATTTCATACTTTAATAGGTAAACGAAAATATATACTAAATTAAAGGATAAAGCAGTTTGGTGCTAAAATAGTTAGTTTGTTTTTTCCGTGATAGAGAAAGAAAAATTGTTATTTCATTTAAAAAAAATTAACTTTCTCTATGTGATAATGGCAAATTAATACAGAAAACTACAAAATGACATCTTATTTTGAGTAATAACATGAAAAAATAAGTATAGTATAAAATGAAAGGGTACACTAAAGTTTTAAAAATGTTTAATCGTTTGAGTATATCACCCGTGTAGAAATTGAAACATGGTGCAGATCAGGACCAGATTAGGCGAAATATGGCCCTAGTTAGGGAAATGATCAAATGAAACACCTTACCTGAACTGGGCCTGACAATACATTTTGAAATTAAGGGCCAAATAGGGTTATCAAAGGGGCCACAGATGTCATTATTTTGTTTAATTAATTCAGTTAATAACCTCTTTCCTGTCATTAACATCATTAAAAAAAGACACGTTTGCATGTATTTTCTAACTCAGCAATTAATAAAGTGCCGTTCGTGCTAAAAATATTTGAGATTTTACAAACTAAGTGAACAAAAATTATATAAATTATGATGTATTGATAGTAAGTAAAACATTTTCTTTAAATTACAAAAAAAATAGGTTGGCTTGACAGTATTGAAAAAACTACAATGTTTCTTCCTGCTCAACATTAACATTTTAATCATATAAATATAATTAAATCACAAATTATAATTAATAATTGAAATTTTAGTGATTCCTTAGACTGAAAAATATAAATTTTATATAAAGAAATGTTTGTTTACTTTAATTTCTAATTGGTAAAGTTTTAAATTAGTTCTTTTATTATATATCTGGTTTATGAATAAAAATATTAAAATAGTAATTATTATTTATAATTTATAATTAATACAATTAACTTTTGTAATAATTTTGTTTATATATAAATTATTTTTACTATCAATTATTGAAAATCGAAATAAAATACTGAAATGAACAAAATTGTTAACCCTTTCATTTTAGTTAGTAAATTTTTATTTTTTCAAACAAAATGAGATTATAGAGGATACAATATATAAACGAAAAAAAGTAACACAACAGAAATGAACTTTAAAAATCTAACTTCATCCTTATCTTGCGTCCTCCTTCCCAATCTTTTGCATTGTTAAACGCAAATGCGAAGAGACCTAGAACGCTGTCTTCGCTCAAGTTGAATTTTTCCATCAGTACATCTGGAATAATTAAAAAAATTCGAAATTTTAATAAATAAATAAATAAATATCGATTAAATTTTAATAAAATAAAATTTTATATGATTATATAATTACTTATTAGAATTATTTTTTTAATGATAAGAAAATTAAAAAGTTTCAACAATTTATAATTTAAAAAATGTTAAATACTTAAGCAATATTAATTTCAGGAATATAATGCAAATTTAAAGCTTTTTGAAATATTTTATTTAAAAATTAAATAATTTTGTTTCGTTTAAAAATAACTTTTTGCAAAATTTCAAAAGGTATCATTAACCTAAAGAGAAATAATTTCAAGAAACATGTTTTAAAAAATAAATAATTTTTTTCCAGTCATAGAAATGGGCCGCATAGATAATTTTGGTGTAATTTAACTTTGCAACATGATATTTCGATACAGAAAAATTATAGAAGTTTCTAAAATTAATTGTTAGAAAATCTTAATTAAAAATATTTACTTACTTTCTTTAGTGTTTTGCATTAAATTTTTAAGTCCTTTTATAAATCGATATCTCCTCACTCTTTTTGTACTTTTTTCCTTTGACATTTTATTGTAACACGTCTTTATTTTAAACATTCAGGAAAGACATTCACTGACAATCTGACATTTATTTTTATTACTTGAATGTGGTCATTAAAAAAAGAAATACCAAAAACTTCATTTATTACTATTTTAAAAATGATTTTTGTAGTCTAGGGCCCTATCAGGTACCGGTAATTCCCCGATCAGGCTATAATGAGGCAACACTTATCAGGACCAGATAGCAAATAGGATTTAACAAGATCAATTTCTACACGGAAAAACGCACAGATGTAGAGAGATCCCTTACCTATAGGCGAGATTCAATATATCAAATCTTAATGTTTCTTGGTATATAGAAAAATTTTGAAAGTTTGTGATTAAAATCAGTATATGGTATACATGAATGCGAGGATATAAATCTTGCTAGGCGTTGATTGCTGTTACCACAGATTCGAATGGTGCTTAGAAAGAGTAATGAGTGCGCTTTGGGCTCGCACACGGACAAATAGTACATTGTATCATCAAGAGCTGGACCATGATTGGAGTCTGACCATGCGAGAACGAGAACTTTAACGTGTGAAATGCCGATTAGATGATTCTGTAGAGGATTTGGCAAGTACAAAAGCAGAAGGATTGAACGTGAAAGGATACTGGGAATGGATAGTATGATAAGCCTCTAATTGTGGTTCAATAGATGGACCAGATTCGTCCTACTGGAAATTAATGACACCTGATGTGTTAAAACTTACAAGTACAACTTTTTTTATATATTTTTTGTTTCCTACCTCTTGATGAAAGTTAATGCATATATAAGTTACAAATTTAAAATTTGTTCAAAAAAGAAAGAATATCTTTTTATCAATAAATATTTCTCAGTTTTATTGATAAAATCAGATATTGGAGACGAGGTAAAACAACTATATATATCAGCCAATGTGCGCTTCTCGCTGCATCGACCAGCGTATGGGTCGTTTGCCAAAATAGTATCAAGTTGATCTAAATGATGTAATCGATGAGGACAAAAACGTTTTCAATTTCGCATAGTATAGACGGATATCCATTGGCTATGCACAAACGAGAATGATATACAGATGCCTATAGCTTGGGCATTCGCTCAACGCACGTTCACCGAAAATGTCCGTGCGCAATCGAAACAATGACCCAATTGCGATAGCTGCGGATTCGAGGTCTGCAATTTCCATTTAACGCAGTTGTCTGTAAGCTCAATGTGTGATTAGGTTTTAGTTGTATCGATGCCACGAATAGGCTTCGTCATCGTTACACCTATATATAATATATATACATATATAAGATATTCATTAGCGCTAAGTGGACAACCAATTATTCAACCATATATCCAACAACTGTATATATATATATATACACAATATGTCCGCGATTCTATTGTTTTATTCTCATGAGGCTAAAATTGTTAGAAATTTATTTCTTTTCATAATTAATTAAGTAAAATTTTGTGTTTTTTTATTTTGTCATATGTGTATACGGGGTATTTTTTGTCAAAAAGACACCCCTATGCCCAGAAAAAATTTAATTAAAAAAATCTCTACATAGGATTAAATTACAGCAAATTTTGTCTATTTTTTAATGCCGTATGGCAATTTTTAAATATTAAACATCGGGATATAAAAAATTACCGACATAGAAATCTACATTACCGACTGATGGTAAAACAAGAAAATAATTATATAAAAATTACCGGTACATATAAATTTACATTATCGACTGATGGTAAAATTAACAAAATGATGATATAAAAAATTACCGGCACAGAAATCTACATTACCGACTGAGAGTAAAACAGGGAAAGGAAAATATTAAAAATTACCGAACCAGAAATCTTCATTACCGACTGATGGTAAAACAGGAAATATTACCGACACAGAAATCTAGATTACAGACTGATAATAAAAGCAGTAAAATGAAAATATAAAAATTACCGACATAGAAATCTACATTATCAACTAATGGTAAACAGGTCGGTAATTTTTATATTTCCATTTTCCTGGTTTATCATCAGTCGGTAATATAGATTTCTATGTCGGTAATTTTTTATATCCCTATGTTTAATATTTAATATAATATTAATATTAATTCATATTTAATATTTATTTTTTCAATAAAATTTTATAAATGTTAAAAATTTTAAAGCAATAAAGAGACACGTGTAAAAAACTGTTTCCTTGAAAAAATATCTGTTTGTCGAACAATAAAAATTATCATTTAACAACTCTGAATATAAAAAATTAATAAAATTTAGTTTTATAAACGGGACGCATGAAAAAGATGTAAAAAAAATTTTTTAGAATTATGATTTGATAGAATCTTATTGTGTAGAATATTACATTTGCAGAATATTAAATTGTTTAAAAATTGATTTGCGGAATTTCCATTAAAATTCCATTGAAAAATTCAAGTGAATTTCTGTTATAGGAGTCATAAGGAATAAGAAAAAAATTTGATAACTTGAATTATCTTGCTGTCAATTGTCAAAATAAAAGCTTGACAATACTCAAAACCTCTTGCAGGTGATCTAAGGTGAAAATATTGACGTTGAACTTAATTTTTAAATTGTAAATTAAGCTTCAAAGCCTCTTGTCCCCATTTACCCCAACTGACCCTATAAAAATTTAAACTAAATTTTATTAATTCATGAGATAATAATTTAACTATTGTTATTTTTACAGATATAATACCTATACAAATTATTTTTGAAAATAGTTAACATGATGAGAATTTTTTTCAAGTGTTTTTTACTTATTTCTCTTGTATGCCTACCTGTTTGGTCAGCAAGCACATTGAAATTAATAAGTGTAGTAAGTTAAAATTTTATATATAAGTCAGTTAAGATTTTTAAATAAGTTGTTTATTTTTAAACAAAAAAAGAAAATAATTTTTATTAATCCTTCAAAAATTCCTAGGTTTTTCGACATGGAGACCGAACCCCTAATTTATGGGAACAGTATCCTGAGGATCCACACAACACCTTATTATCTAAGCCTTCAATTGAAGGAAAATTAACTGAAGTAAAGAAAAATATTAATTTTTTTTTCTATTAAAACTTTAATTTCAAAAAATTATTCATTTAATTTTAATTAATTACAGAGTGGTCAATTAAGAGCAAATAATTTAGGAATTTTTCTGCGAAATAGATATAACGAATTTTTAAAAACTAATTATTCCTCAGGATTTGTTGAAGCGCGAAGTACTAAAATTAATCGTACACAAGAATCTTTGAAATTGGTCTTAAAGGGTTTATATCCAGAAGCTTCTGTGCCAGTAATTGTTAATCCAATTCACAATGATTATCTATTCTTTCCTCATATATGCATCAGGTATATATTATAAAATTAGAAACTGTTAATTTAAAAATAATGATTATAATAAAATATTAATAAACTATTATAGATACACTGTTGAATATGTAAAAGCAAAATTGAGTAAAGATGTGAAAGATGAATTGAATAAATTAAAAGATTTTAGAAAAAATTTAACAAATTGGACAGGAAAAAAAATAAAAAGTGCCCTTGACATGTATTTTATTTACCACACTTTAGAATGCGAAAACTTTATGAATTTAACATTACCTCCTTGGACCATTGGTGTTTATCCAGATGGTGATCTTTTAAAAGGATCGGTACTTGAATATAAAATAATGAACTACAACAAAACAATGATTCGACAAAATGGAGGTAAGATAATTAAAAAAAAAAAACAAAGGTTGTAAATCTTTTATAAAAAAAAAATTACAATAATATTTATATAAGAATAACTTAAAAAAAATAAAACAACACTTTAAATATGAGGCATTCCATTCCATTCAATTCATTTTAATAATAATAATAATAATAATTTTATAATTATTTTCTTATGGAACTTTTGGTTAAATTTTTTTTTTTTTGGACTGTTATACTTTAATTCAATTAATCTATTGTACTCTACATTGCATCAGGAATGCTGGTTAAAAAATTCATAGAAGACATGAAAAAAGTAAAAAATGGAACAATGGATAGAAAAAGAAAAATAATGTTATACAGCGCACATGATATTAACATTGCTGCAGTACTAAAAGCTCTTAATGTCTATTATCCACATGTACCCAAATTTTCTTCTGCTGTAATTGTTGAATTACATCTTAAAAATCAAGAATATTTTGTTAAGGTACAAAAATAACATTCGTCATATATATATTTTTTTAATTTTATTTAAAATTCTACATTTATAATTTAATTCCAATAACAATTATTTAGTTCAAGTAAATATATATATATATAAATAATAATAATCAAGTACTCGATTGAATCAAATAAAAATTTTTTCAGTACAATAATTCAAAATGGACAAATTATTTAAATATTTGTCTTTAAATTAAATAATAAATTAATATTATATTTTGTTTGCAGATTTTATATTATCTGGGTATACCTGGAAAAGTTGAAAAGTTAAAAATTCCAGGATGTAACAATTGGTGTCCTTTGAATGAATTTATCCATTTAACGCGAAATATTGTTCCCGAGAAATTAGACTCCTGCAATAATGGATCAATATTCAAAAAAGTAAAAACAGCTTTTAGCTGGTTGAAAGAAAAGTTATTTTAAGAGCATTTGAACCTTCGTGACGTCACAAATCATGGCGCATGACACGCAAACTTCTCAGGTATGTGAAAAGCACAATTTTGAATATTTTTTAAAAAAACCTTTTGGAAAATGTTCAGAATAACATAGACTCTGTCTGTTATGTGCGGAAAATTCAAAATTTTGCGTTTAAAACGTTTTTTAAACAATGTTAAGGTCACAAATCATGGCGCATGACACGCAAACTTCTCAGGTATGTGAAAAGCACAATTTTGAATATTTTTTAAAAAAACCTTTTGGAAAATGTTCAGAATAACATAGACTATGTCTGTTATGTGCGAAAAATTCAAAATTTTGCGTTTAAAACGTTTTTTAAACAATGCCTACATATAAGCAATTCGTGTATTTTTCCTTACTTGTGACAACCAACTTAAACATTGTTTAAAAAACGTTTTATACGCAAAATTTTGAATTTTTCGCACATAACAGACATAGTCTATGTTTCTCTGAACATTTTCCAAAAGGTTTTTTTAAAAAATATTCAAAATTGTGTTTTTCACATACCTGAGAAGTTTGCGTGTCATGCGCCATGATTTGTGACCTTAACATTGTTTAAAAAACGTTTTAAACGCAAAATTTTGAATTTTCCGCACATAACAGACAGAGTCTATGTTATTCTGAACATTTTCCAAAAGGTTTTTTTAAAAAATATTCAAAATTGTGCTTTTCACATACCTGAGAAGTTTGCGTGTCATGCGCCATGATTTGTGACGTCACGAAGGTTCAAATGCTCTTAAAGTATAATCATAAGGCTTTTGGGTGATATTTGATTTTAAAAAATTAAATTATTTAATATATGCACTGAAAAAAAATTCTAGTTAGAATAACCAGAATTCTGGTTAGGGTATATTTAACATTTTGATTCTGGTTAGGTTAACCAGAATTCTGGTTATTTTAACGAGAATTCTAGTTAATTCAACTAGAATTCTGGTTAACATAACTAGAAAGTAATGTTAAATATAGCCTAACCAGAATTTTTTTTTCAGTGTATATATATATATATATACTAGGGGGGCTTCGCGCGCCAACCCCCTATTTAAATTTACTAAAAAATATTAAATATTATTTTGATTAAATTTATATTCAATAAAAAATTTTTTAATTTGAACAGCAGAAATTTATTTAGATTTAAATATGAACATAAACTATATTTAAACTTGCATCCGTAAACTAAATTTTCATCTATTCTGCAATTGAAAAATTAATTAGGGACCGAATAAGATTTTTTATATGTTTCTAAGATTAATTTTACCCAATTTCTTTAAATAAAATTTATTATTTTATTTTAAAGAATTTGTTTCTAAGATGCACTACGGATGACGTCCTTCTAACCTATGACCCTAATTTTGGGGTAATGTCAGATTTCTTTGAGGTTATGTTCGCCTACACGCCTATGACCTTCAACGTAAATTTAGGGTTATGTTCTCCTTTGACCTATGACCTTTTAAAGTTTAAAGGGATGGTTAAACTGCTAAAAATTTTCACACTTCTCAGAATTTAGTTTATTATTTATTTATGTGAGCTTAAACTTTATTTTTTACATTGAATTTTAAAATATCATTCTCTTGAATTAAAGAATAAGTAAGAATAATTATTTTACATAAATAATTTACAAGAGTCATATTCATACTGTAGATATATTTTTGAATTAGAATATATTTGTATGAAAAAGCATTTTGTTAATTTAAGACATTGAAATAAAATTAAAAAATAATTTTCATTACAAGTTATGATTCCGACGGCTAATCAAATTTTATATATGCAGAATTATTTCATTTAAAAGAAGTCGATGTCACGGATTTTTTTTTATATCGATAGTGATTATCGTGCTATAAATAAGTATAAAAAATATTAATTTGAATTTTTAACATTTTCTACGTAAAAAAAATTCACAACTTTTTTTTTCTATATTGCTATTTAGAAAATAGTTATATATAAATAAAAGATAAAAAAATTATTGTTTTTAGAAATATTTAAAAATTAAAACCTTTTGCAAAAGTTTATTTTAATTTTTTAATTATTTAAAAAAAAATAAAGCTATATTTAATATTCAAAAGAGAATAGTAGTAAATGGAGAATTTATAAAGTGGAAGAGCTTTTTAAAAAATGCTTTAAACTTAAAAATTTTTAAAATCATGGTGTACTTCAGTTATTTGATTTAAAAGAATAGAAATATTTCAAACAAAATTTAAATCTTGATATAAGTGAAAAAAAAAATTTCTGAAAAGAAGTAACAAAACAAGCAACTAATAGAAATAAATTTAATTGGCATTAAACGACAAAATGTGTATATCAAAGTTTTACTAAAGAACTTTTTTGAAAAAAAAAACTTTTGCAATTCAAAAGATGATTAACATTTTTATAATGAAATGTACAGAAGATTAAATCGCAAAAGCGTAATAAATGGCTTTTTCTATATTATATTGAAACATATATCTTTTTATCAAATATAATTAAGGTAGAATTGTATATATAATTAAAAAGCACAAATCTCTGTATTAAACAAATGTAAATAAAAACTTTAATAAAAATGAAGGATATGTCTGCAGAAATTAAGGGGCAATTAAAATTCAAAGAGAATCAATTTTAAAAACCTTTTAATTTCAATAGCAATTTATTTTCCTATTCTTTAAGCGAAAAATATTTTAAATAATTGTTCAATTATGAAAAATTACATTAATGTCAACACTTTTACATATAGATATATAAATCGCAGTTGCGCAAACTAATTAATTTCATAGTCAACAATAAAATTGGTATGTTAAATTGGGCAAATTTTTAGATTTTATAATTTGTATAATATATGTATATATATATATATATATATATATTATTTAAAATTACTAATTACAAAAAGTAACTTAGTCATTCAATGTATGTAATAAAAATAGAAATTGCACATTTTTTTTTTATCAAAAGATCTGGAACACACATTTAAAATATTAATGTAAACAATTTTTATTATATCCATACTGAATCTGACCGACTTTTCAGGATTACATGCAAAATTAAGTAAATAATTACAATTATAATTTTATCTGTTAGGGAATAATGTTGAAGACAAATTTCAATATAGTCTTTTTTTATACTTTGATAGTGTTTCAAGTAATTTTTTTTTTTTTTTTTTACCGCAGTGTTCAATAATACGATAAATTTAAAATAGATATAATATTTTGTTTTGAAATGAAAATAAATAATTAAATAGAATTTTTAATATTTTATAAAGTAATTTAACAATTTTTATTTTTACAGATAATTGAATACATATTGTTAACATGATAAGAATTTTTTTCAAGTATTTTATTTTTATTTCTATTGTATGCCTACCTGTTTGGTCAGCAAACACATTGAAATTAATAAGTGTAGTAAGTTAAAATTTTATATATTTAAGTTAGTTAAGATTTTTGAATAAGTTGTTTATTTTTAAATAAAAATATATTTTTAAACAAAAAAAAAAAGAAAATAATTTTTTTTTAATCCATCAAAAAATTTCTAGGTTTTTCGACATGGAGATCGAACACCTGTTCCTCCATTTGAACTGTATCCTAAGGATCCACACAAAATATTATCATTTACACCTCCAGGTCATGGAAAATTAACTCAAGTAAAGAAAAATATTAATTTTTTTTTTTTTTTTTAAACTTTGTTTAAAATTTCAAAAATCTATTCATTTAATTTTGAATTAATTACAGAGTGGTCAATTAAGAGCAAATAATTTAGGAATTTTTCTGCGAAATACATATAACGAATTTTTAGAAACTAATTATTCCTCAGGATTTGTTGAAGCGCGAAGTACTAAAATTAATCGTACACAAGAATCTTTGAAATTGGTCTTAAAGGGTTTATATCCAGAAGCTTCTGTGCCAGTAATTGTTAATCCAATTCACAATGATTATCTATTCTTTCCTCAAATGTGCATCAGGTATATATTAATATTATTATTATTAAATCAAATTATAAAGAATTTCACATCATTTATAAAGAATCAACTGTCAAAGTGGTTAAAACAATTTTTGTATCCAAAATAAAAAAAATCGCTGCCAAGTTGAAGTATGAACTTTTTGTGTTCATAAAATGAACACTTTGCTTCCCCATGGAGATTTTTTGTGATCAATTTATGGTAACTTATTTGGTATTATAATAAAACAGTAAAAAAGAAAGTATTATTTTAAGACAAAAAAGGTGTCTTATTTTAAGAGGCAACATTTTTAAGGCAGCCCTTGCTGAATCTAAGCAATGGATTTACATGCAATTTGAATTTAAATACATTATGGCTATAGTTTTTGAGGTGTATATACGCACATAAATTTTGAGTCCAATAATAAGACGGAATTGGCCTAAAATTTGTTACTCGAGGGTTTTTGGGGTCGCTGCTTTCGAATTTGATGTCAGATTTACAAAATTCAAAATGGCGAATCCAATATGGCGATCAAAAATTTTGAAAATTGACCATATTCGCTTGAAACTCGTTACTCGGGGGTTTTTGGGGTCGCTGATTCCGAATTTGATGTCAGAATTACAAAATTTCAAAATTCAAAATGGATACAATAATAATCACACCCATACTATGCTATTTTGAATTTTCAAAATCTGACTAGAATATCGTAAAGAGCGACGTTCAAAACCCCTGAGTAACAGATTTTAAGTAATTTTAATTAATTTTTAAATTTTTAGAAAATTATCTGCCACATTGGTAACGCAATTTTGAATTTTTGAAATCTGACTATAGATTCGTAATCAGCGACCCTCAAAACCCCTGAGTAATAATTTTTAAGTAATTTAAAATCATTTTTCTCATTTTTTGAAAAATCGTCCGCCATATTGGCTCGGCCATTTTGAATTTTTGAAATCTGACTATAGATTCGTAATCAGCGACCCCAAAAACCCCCAAGTAACAATTTTTAAGTATTCTTAAATAATTTTTGCCATTTTTTGAAAAAATTGTCCGCCATATTGGTTCTGCCATTTTTAATTTTTGAAATCTGATTTTAGATTCGTAATCAGCGACCCCAAAAACCCCCAAGTAACAATTTTTAAGTATTTTTAAATCATTTTTGCCATTTTTTGAAAAATCGTCCGCCATATTGGCTCCGCCATTTTGAATTTTTTAAAACTGACTTTGGAATCGTAATCAGCGACCTTAAATACCATAGTATACACATTTGCACAAATTTTGGTCATTCAAAAATTTACTGACATTTTGGGCCCACTTATGAGATTTTGGCCTCGACTGCGAAGGGGTTAAGAAGGTGTTAAGTTGTATTTTTGGGTATTTGCAGAGATAGATTTTTAACATTAATAACTTCGTAATATTTTACAATAAAAGGTTCAATAATAGGTCAATTGATTCGTTTTTAAATATTCTCCAAGTTGTTCATAATACTTTTAAAGATACATAAATATTTTTTAATAAATATGGCAAAAAAAGCAGGTTTTTCAAAAATTTTCAATTTCAAAATATTAATAACTCTGGATAAAATAACAGTAGGATATTCGCTAATAGGTCAAAAGATGCGTCTTGAAAAACTCTTCAAAACTAGAGATAAATATCTATTGGTGTCAATACATTTTTTTTAAGTTATGGGCAAAAAACATTTTTCTTTAATTTTTAAAAATTCAATAACTTTGGATAGAATATCAGTAGAATGTTCACTAACATCTCAAAAGATGCGTCTTAAAAAAACTCTACAAAATTAATGAAAAATATTCATAGGTGTCCTAACATTTTTTTTAAAGTTATGGGCAAAAAACGATTTTTCAAAAATTTTAAAATGAAAAAAAATAATAGTTAATCTTTTTTAATATTGCTCAAAGTACTTTCATTATTTGTCCGCCAGTGAGAACTACAATTTGAAAAAAAATTTATCCCTTCAGCTCTTATAGAATTCGAGATATTTAAGAAAATGTAGTGTATACATGAGGATAGCAATATTTAAAGAATTAAATATATGTAATTTTAAAGTGATAATAATAAAATATTAATAAACTATTATAGATACAATGTTGAATATGTAAAAGCAAAATTGAGTAAAGATGTGAAAGATGAATTGAATAAATTAAAAGATTTTAGAAAAAATTTAACAAATTGGACAGGAAAAAAAATAAAAAGTGCCCTTGACATGTATTTTATTTACACAACTTTGGAATGCGAAAACTTTATGAATTTAACATTACCTCCTTGGACCATTGGTGTTTATCCAGATGGTGATCTTTTAAAAGGATCGGTACTTGAATATAAAATAATGAACTACAACAAAAATATGATTCGACAAAATGGAGGTAAGATAATTAAAAAAAAAAACAAAGGTTATAAATCTTTTATACAAAAAAAAAATTGCAATAATATTTATATAAGAATCATTTAAAAAATAAAACAACACTTTAAATATAAGGCATTCCATTCCATTCAATTCATTTTAATAATAATAATAATAATAATAATTTTATAATTATTTTCTTATGGAACTTTCGGTTAAATTTTTTTTTTTTTGCACTGTTATACTTTATTTCAATTAATCTATTGTACTCTACATTGCATCAGGAATGCTGGTTAAAAAATTCATAGAAGACATGAAAGCAGTAGGAAATGGATCAATGGATAAAAAAAGAAAAATAATGTTATACAGCGCACATGATATTACCGTTGCTGCAGTTCTAAAAGCTCTTGATGTCTATTATCCACATGTACCAAAATTTTCTTCAGCTGTGATTGTTGAATTACATCTTATAGAGCAAAAATATTTTGTAAAGGTAGAAAAACCACATTCATATATATGTGTAGGGCGAAATTCCTGAAGTGATCCAATTCCCAAAATGTGAGCAATAACTATTATTGTATAAAAAGGATGAAAAAAATTTTGACCTATATGATTTTGAAAGGGTTTTTTTCTGCTCTTTTGAATGGTGCAAATTTTTTTTTAATTTAAAATTTACCCCTTTTTTTGAATAAAAAACATATTTTTGATTTTTTTTTTTAATAAAGGACAGTTTTTATTTCTTTTTTTCATTCCTTAAAATGAAACTTAAAATGTATGCTTTTAATAAACAAATTGAACACAATATTTTTTTTTTTTTTAAAGAAAACATTTTAAGCATCATTTTAAGGGGTAAAAAAAAGAAATAAAAACTGTCCTTTATTAAAAAAAAAAGTTAAAAATATTTTTTAAGTTTCAAAAAAGGGGTAAATTTTAAATTTAAAAAAAAAAATTTGCAACATTCGAAAGAGTAAAAAAAAGCATTTTTGAATTTATATAGGTCAAAATTTTTTTCTCGCTGTTATACAATAGTTATGATTTTTCAAAAAAAATCCACTGTTTATATTTCACCAAAATTTTAATCCTCTCCCCCCTCTATCTAAGAATTTTATTTTTAATTGTATCACTTTATAAATTTTGTCTCATATTTATTTTTTTTTAAATATTTAGTAGTCAAAAGTTAAGAAAAAATCGTCTTGGACTCAGAGTGGTAAATTAAAAAGGGTTCGTTAAAGCCCCCGAGTTAAACGCAGTTATATTTATTTTACATTATTATATATGGGCATATCTCTAGAACTTTTAAACTTTGAGATATTAGAAAAATTAATTTTTTTTCATGGCACATTCTTAAAACAAATTTTATTGTCTTCAGTATTGATCAAATACTATAAAAAAATTTGCGTAATTCATTTTTACACATTGTTACGCAGCACAGTGGGCCTTATTGCAAAAAACCTGCCCAAAATCTCTAGATGTGTTTAAAACTGACTGAAATTTGTTACTCGCGGATTTTTTTGGTCGCTGAATACAAATCCGACGTTAGTTTTTCAAAATTCAAAATGGCGGATCCAATATGGCGGACGACTTTTAAAAAAATTGATCGAATTTGTCTGAAATTTGTTACTCGGGGGTTTTTTGGGTCGCTACTACTTTTTGTTACCTTTAAAATGATTTAATGCTACAGTTTCGAAAATTTTATGTCCTATGGCTTATTAAGTCATAAGTAAATGTAGTTTATAACAATTTTTGAATTTTTAAAAATTTAATTTTTTAAAAAATTTTGTTTGCAATTTTGGATTCACCATTTTGAATTTTGAAAAATTAAGTTCAGATTCGTAATCAGCGACCCCATAAACCCCCAAGTAACAAATTTTAGGCCAATGGGATCAATTTTGTAAAAAGTCATCCGCCATATTGAATCCGCCATTATGAATTTTGTAAAACTAAGTTCAGATTCGTAGTCAGCGACGCAAAAAACCCCCGAGTAACGAATTTCAGGCCAATTGGATCAATTTTTTTAAAAGTCATCCGCCATATTGGATCCGCCATTTTGAATTTTGAAAAACAAAGTTTAGATTCATAATCAGCGACCCCAAAAACTCCCGAGTAACAAATTTGAGGCCAATGGGATCACTTTTTTAAAAAGTCGTCCGCCATATTGGATTCGCCATTTTGAATTTTGGAAAATTTAAAATTCAGATTAGTAGTCGCAGCGACCCCAAAAACCTTCGAGTGAGAAATATCAGCCAGATTTAAACACATCTATTAGTTAATACTTACTTTTCTTCACAAACTATGCGTCGGACAGTTTAGGTTTATATTCATTATTAATTATACAGTTTCAATGAAGTGTGCAAAGGTTAACGATTTTTCTGTATACTTTTATAATGCATGAGAAGAGATTACAATGAGTTGGGAGCATTTAGAAGCAAAATTCAACATGTGCTTTTCAAATATGTGGTTTTTTGATATGAGTTACGTTTTAAAATTTAATGTTTGAAGTCATTGCATTCTTTGTGTAAAGGAAGCACACATTCCTGTATGGGTTTAAATTACTTCTTATTAGGTAGATAATATAATCCCGTTGTGCCGTTACTCAAAAACCTTCGTTAAAAAAGTTATATCAGTTTAACTGTCAACTTGTAGAAATTTTGAAAAAGTTGTCTCGAAAGTTTGAAGCTACATAGTTTTTATTCAATTTGAGGCACATCATTGTTTCATGGATTTTTTAGTTCTTTATACTCCCACCTACTTCTATTGCAAGCCACAAGACACACAATGTTTCGTTAAAAAAGTTACAGTCTATAAACTAAAAAAAACAGTCAATATCACACACTAGAAACTGTCGATTTCACCACTTTAACTTACGTTCGTCATTTCCTACATAATTAAAAAAATTATATAACGCATGATACATTTAAAAAGCCCTATAATTGGTCAAATTATGGTACTGAAAAATTTTTAAAAAAATTCTTAAGGTATCATAATGAGCGATAACATAAAGTTTAAAAGTTCTAGAGATATGCCCATATACATTTTTTTTCCGAGGTAAACCATTATCTTCAAAATTCATTTGTATAGAATAATTAAATAATGGAGAATTTGACACCATTATCAAATTAAACTGTGTGAAATTAAACGTTAAATTATTTTAAAATTATTAATATTATAATTATATTTAACAAGAATCAAAATTTAATAATATTTAAAATTTGTAGAGTTAAATTAAAGATATTCAATTTTCCTGACAGTTAAAATCTGTAACAATCGATAAAGTGAAAAAAAATATATTTTTAAAGAATATTATTATTTTATTTACAGATTTTATATTATCTAGGTGTACCTGGAGAAATGAAAGAATTACAAATTCCAGGATGTAATATTTTATGTTCTTTTGATGAATTTATCAATTTGACACGAAATATTGTTCCCGTTAATTTGAATTCATGCAAGCAAAATAGAGATATTTCGAAATATAGTAATAATTATTCCGATGAAATTACTAACAGAAGAAAAGAATCAATGAAAATATTCTTAATCGACTAAGTAGTAATAATTTTTATTTTTAAAAATGAAATTCTAATCAATTTGTAAAAGTGTAATAAAAATATTAAAATAAATAATAGAAATTTTAATTATTACCATATATATATATATAGCAAAAAATATTATAGTAACGATTACCATATAACAACAATTGGTATAGGAGATTTATTTTTTATATTTTTAAATTTCATTTTATTCACTGTTTGTTTTTTAAGTTTACGAGAAAAAAAAAATTATAAAACTTGGTAATTAAATAAGTATATAAATTGAAGAAATAAATTTAATCTTATCTATATTTTTTCAAATTAAATTTAAATTATCTTCTCTTCTTGTAAACAAATATTTGTTAACTAATCGATAGCAAATCTATTATAATTTCTTTTTTATAGTCAGTTGATCACTGAATGTTGTTTAATTAACATTTCTTGTCTATCAATTATATTTTATTTCAATGACAAAATATTGTTATTTTTAATTAATTTCTTCTGCCTTTAATACTCAGGAACCCTTAATAATGGTAATTATTATTATTTTTTGTTGTAAATAATATTTTATTTTTACCTATATATTTTTTTGATAATAATTTTTATTTTTTAATAATAAACAATTCTTTAGTTTCTGATGCAAAAACAATAGCATAGCTACATCAAAAAGTAAATAACATATAGCGTTTCTTTATTGACTTGGAGAGATTGATAATTTCCAATATTCTATTATTTTATTATTTATACGTTACCATCATATTGAAACTGCAGATTTTATAAATATTTTTGAAGGTAATGAAAAAAATTTTTAACTACAACAACAAAGAAAATTATCAAATTATTATCAAAAATTTACTTTATAAGGGTCAAGGTCTTTGCTAAAAGATAATATTTAATATTATTGTAATATTAACCCATTTACCCAATTAGGAAACCTTTAAGTGGCCTAATATGATAATTTAAAAAACAAATTAAAATAGAATTATTGCCTTTGTTATAAAAGAAATATTGTATTTATTTTAATTTTCCTATAAATCCAATTTATTTTCTGTTTTTCATCAATTTATCTGAAATTTACATAATAATATAATTGATTAAATAAATAATCTACTTTTATTTCATATGCTAAATAAGTCGTAGATTAATTTAATTAAAACGCATGCGCAAAATAGTGACATTGAACAAATTTACTATTTAGTAAATAGTCTTCTAGTCTTCTATAATATTCATCTAATCAAGTAGAGAGCATAAGTATTTTGATGCATCTCGATAATTTTAATTATTATTGACAGGTAATTCTTTTTTACACAATTCAGATTATAATTTTTTCTTCATTATTTATTTTTTTTATTTTTTTTAAATAAAATTTCAATATATTTTTTTATATTTAATTTAAAAATAATAACTTTTATTGTATAATAAAAAAAGTGAGAAAAAAAATTATCACAAAAAAATTAATTGTAATTTAAAATTATTTTGAGTCACAAGTTAGAAAAAATATGAATAAATAGTGTTTTTTTTTTGCGGTGAAGTTTACAAAGTTTATAATCAACAATTTAAAAGAAAAAATATTTTTCTACATGCAAATAAATTATTGTCTAAATAAATTTTTCTAACATTTCTCCAATCAACAATTTTTAAAAGAAAATAATTTGTAGACAAAATGTTTTATTATTTTACGAATAATAATTTCTTCTAATTCCCAGCTTAAAAAAAAGATTGAAATTATATTTATTTATTTAAACACCGCACCTATTGAAAATTAATTATATATCAAATTTTTTCTAATAATAACAATTTTTATTTATTTTTTTTAACAATATTCAGTGTTATATTATTATAAAATTACTTTGAATTACAGTTTATAAAATTAATCATAGGACAATGATTTTTCATTTGATTAAGCATGCAATTTTGCTGCATAGCTTTCTAACTCCTTCAATTCCCAAAAACAAAGAAACTTTAAAGCTTGTCAGTGTGGTAAGTATTAAAATTTTCTTGAAAAGATAACTGTAAAAATTATTATAATATAATTTCTATATTCTATTAGAAAAATTTTTATGAATTTTTTTTTCCTACTCAAATTGAAAATACTAAAATGCAATAACTGTATATTATATGCAGGTTTTTCGTCATGGCGACCGAACTCCAGTTAAGCCATATGAACTCTATCCAAATGATCCTCATAAAGATTATAATTTTGGTGAAACAGCTTATTCAGTATTAACTGAGGTGAGAGAATTATATAATTAAAAAATTATTTTTGTCTTTAGGAAAAAAAAAAAATATATATATATATGGGGCATTCTATTTTAAAATTATACCCCTAGTAAACAATTGACAATATAAGACATTTTTTAAATAATTATTTCTCCCATTTAATTAAATCAAATTACTTTTGCAATGAGTGGTTTCGAAAGAGAAATTTCTAAACTTTATTATTGTAAAAAATTTTTTTTAAAAAAACGTTTAATTAGCATAAAAAATTTAGTTTGAAGGTTAAACTTATAAATATCTCAAAAAACGTTGTCTCCGATTTTGACAAAATCTGTGTCAAAAGAAAGCTTAAATATTCTATTTTTTATTTCCGTAAAGTTTATAATGGACATTTTCGAGGATTTCGAGAAATTAATTAAAATTCTCAGACGTTTCAAAGGTTAAAAAGGGTTGAAATTTGCATGAATAGAGAACCTCTGTTCAAATACAGCGGCATTTGTTTTTACGAAATTTTTAAATAAATAAATTTTAAAACTTCAATTTTAATGTTAATAATTTTTTTAAATTTGAAAAATTTTTAATTGCAAATAGCTAAAGATCAATATATTTATTGTTTACAATCTTTTTTTTCTCTAATGTCAAGTGATGTAATAATGTAAGGTTAATGGAAATTAAATTTAAAAAACAAAATCCGCTCTTAAAGAAATGGTTCTCCATTCATACAAATTTCAATCCTTTTTAACCTCCGAAACGTCTGAGAATTTTAATTAATTTCTGGAAATTCTCGAAAATGTCCATTATAAACTTTACGGAAATAAAAAATAGAATATTTAAGCTTTCTTTTGACATAGATTTTGTCAAAATCGGAGACAACGTGTTTTGAGATATTTACAAGTTTAACCTTCAAACTAAATTTTTTATACTATTTAAATGTTTTTTTGAAAAAATTTTTTTACAATTGTAAAGTTTAGAAATTTCTCTTTCGAAACCACTCATTGCAAAAGTAATTTGATTTAATTAAATGGGAGAAATAATTATTTAAAAAATGTCTTATATTGTCAATTCCCAAGTAGAAATATCCGTAGCTCGCCGTAATTAAACACCGGCATGGTACTGATCCAATACTGGCTGTCGGTATTGACTTTCAGTACTGGCAGTGTACTGACTAATACACCGAATCAGTACTATGTCGGAGGTAAAAAAATATTAAAACCAGTACTGGCAGTACACTGTCATTCACACCGAATCAGTACTATGTCGGTGATAAAAAACATTAAATGAAAAAGTCTTTAAATTATTCCAATAGGTAGAAAACGATGATTTTTTATTTAAAAAAATGTATATTAATTTCTTTCGAATACTTTCCCTCAAAATTTTGGATGTAATTGTAATGTATTATTATATACCTATATAAAATATATTTATGTTTTTTTTAGTTATTTTAGTACTCATTGAAATATGTGCATTAAGTTATTTATCATGCATACAATAACAATAAGTTGAGAATTTTTTTCTAATAGTTTTAAAAATAAAGCAAATGTAATTTTTTCACTGTAATTTTTAAATATTATTAATAATTAAATATTAAATTTAAAAAATTTTTCACCATTCATATTTTACAGTCGTCTTTTATTAACTTATTTTTAATTATGTAATTCATCAATCATTTTTGTCTGTTTTAATATTATTTACGGTAAAAATAATTTATTAAAAATATTTAACTGAAATTGATATCCAGTTTTATTTCATTAAATCTTTGTAAAAATTGAAAAAATTTTGTGAGTTTAAAAAATTTAAGAATAAATTCATTTTATTTTCGTGATCAATAGATAATACAAACTTTGAAATCAAAACTTTTGTATTAGGTGAACTACTTCAAGTCAGCACTTCAAGCCAGCGCGGCTGTGCGGTATGCGTATCTGACTTGCGTTCTAAGGGTTTAGGGTTCGATCCCCCATGCGTGCGAGATTTTTCGTTCTTAGTTTTAAGTGTTATAAGTACAATATTTGTTCATGTGTAATATCAATTATTAAATAATTATTAAATTAAGTATAAGTGCAAAGTAAAAAAAATTAAATATTATGAATTTAAAAAAATAAAAAAATTTACAACACAAATTATTTTTTGTAAAATAATTTATTAAAAATAAAATAATTTAATTAATATAAATGATAATTATTATTTTAATTATTTATTGTTAATAATATTTTATATATTCTAAATAACATTAACTATTATTGGCTTCACATTACCTGTTCGTGGTAAAAATGGGAGTAATAAGCTAATAAGGATGAAATTTGCATTGGAAAGCGTGTTTTAGCATTTTGTAAAAAAGTGAGATTTTAAGTCCGGATGAGTACTTTGCCAGTATTATGCCAGTATTATTCTAGTACTACGTTAGTACTGGTGAGCGGGACAAAATCAGTACTGGACAGCGTTACCAGCCAGGGTTGGTCCACTACTGGCCCAGTACGGCAGTCAGTACTGTTATACTGACTGGCAGTGTTGGGTCAGTACTATGCCAGTGGCACATTTCTACTTGGGATTGTTTACTAGGGGTATAATTTTAAAATAGAATGCCCCATATATGTTATAAATAATTTGTTTAATTTGTGTCTAGAGTGGTAAACAGAGAGCTTACAGATTAGGAAAGTTTCTTAAAAACAACTACAAGATATTGTTAGATTTAACACATGAAAGTGTTATAGCTCGAAGTACAGATGTTAATCGAACAAAAGAATCTCTTAAATCAGTATTAAAAGCTTTATATCCTGAATTTGCAATTGACATATACAGTAAACCTTTATTCAAAGATTCATTATTATTACCACAATCATGTTACAAGTTAGTATATTCTTAAAAAATATTTTTTTATGAGAATTTCTCAA